TGGACCCGAACAATGGTGGTTTGCTTGAAGTGCCTCCACTATCGTCTAGATTGTGTTTTTTATGCCTCCAATGTTTATCGTACCGCATGCCGAATAGCACGATAAAGTACTCGACCAGCGCCAGGAACACGAACAGCGTRCATGATATTAGCCACACTTCGATGCATTTCAGCTCCAGCGCACTCGGCGAGTTGTTCCTGCACGATGGCGGTGTAAAAACGTATAGTAAAACGACTTGCCRATAATATTTTAAGTTCTAGACATATATTGTTTGCCGTGTTTGTCATTTTTATCTTGAAATATTTATAGAGATCAAACATTAGTAGGTACCTACCATTATAACAACCTCAGTGGCGCTCAGATAATAGGTTAGCATGTATKGAAACTGCATGTGCTYTCGAGAGGAGTGGCTGTAAATTACTGGCCTCATACATTCATAATATAAACTTATACTTAATAATAATAACTTAATAATTGATTTCTGTGAACTACAGTGGTTAATAAGTTAATAGTTATTATAATTGAATAAATTGAGTATCTAAGTGCACAATTGAGTAGAGTGCAACAAAAATATTATTTTTAAATAAAAAAAAAATTGGGTGAATGGGTAAATTTTTTTAACTGCGTGTGCTCTCAAAATATCTCTGTGCGCCACTGAATTAACAACCGTCATACAATGAGTTTTGGTGTTTTGGTTTCAAGTAAATCAATAAAAATGTTATGAATTTTAATAATTACCGCCAGATCTTTGCGGTAAATTAATGTTTTCGAAAATCGTTTCTCAATAACTTTAAACAAACACGACGTCAAAATGTGGATATCTAAGCATGTTATAGTTTAGCGCCTGGTACTATAATATAAGTTTTAATGTCATAAAATATGCATAATAGAGCTGGGAGGAACGTGGATTGTCGATACTACAAAAAATAAAAATAAATTTAAAAATGCGAAATGTTTTCTGTAGTAGGTTGTAACGCGTATATATAAATATATACCTAAATATACTTAAATATACCTATATATTATCGTATAAATACAAAATTCTTAATTTACATTAAAAGCTTACTAAATAGGAAATATATTAAAAACGATCACAATTTACATTGTTAAACCAGTAATAGGTAAAGCCTAAAGGCAATAAATTATATTGTTTGTGGTACTTTGGAGTTTTGCCTTGGTTCCCTAACTTCACTGTACCTAACTATAAGGATTGTATAGATTAAATTATTTTATAATACGGGGTGAACCAYGAACTAATTACATAAGATAGTAATTATACAGATTAAAATGAGTGCTAAACGGAAACTACGAACTTGTTTATTGTAGAGAGAATGAGGGTTCGGTGTTGGCAATGCGCATGAGACGGATAATTGAAGAGCWAAGTTATAGACCTATTTATTTGACGAAGAGAATGGAATATGGAATGAGACCGATGATCGGTTATGGCAAGAGGGAACATTGATAGATATGTTGAAGATCAGGGGAAATTTCCGAAAATAAAATACGTGGGACCTGAGTGTAATCGTGAAAGGGGATGGCAGGTATATAGATAGTTTATTTAATTTGTAGGCAGCACCAGTGTACGTCAAAGAATTAGGTTAGAATTTTATCACTAGGAATGGGGCAGTATAATTTGTATCAATGAAACTTGGACACTTTATTATTGCCTATATAGTATATTGGTAATATTCAATATTGTCGTTCTTTAAATGACGGAGAGTGGAGATTGGAGAGATTAGCCTTGTCCCGCTAATTAAGAGGTAGAACTTGGCAACTTT